TCATTGTTGTGAACGTGATATCTCAGTAACGCTTTGAGAGAATTTCTTCAAATTTGGCACAAACATTCACTTGGAGTCAAAGATGAACAAATTAGAATTTGGTGGTCAAAGGTCAATGTTCAAGGTCACTGTGACTTCACAAAACATGTTTTTGACAATTTCAATTAATTTTACTTCATTTCAAATTCACAACTCAAACAGTTTTAAACACTCACCAGAGTCCACTTGTTCAGTCCAGGTTTGACAAATGTAAACGTGTCTTTGATATAAAGTGAAACTAAAAACAGTCGTCCTCTGTAGACAGCTCTCTCTCTCACACACACACACTCGCACAGATTGACGACGGACCAGTCTGTCGAGTTGGTTAAAAACGAGGAAGTGAGATCTGATCACAAGTGATCGGATCACTGAAGACACGTTAGGTATTCGGTGTGAACAGGGCATCTGACCTTTACAGCCCTGATTCTGATTTCAAGTGATTCCATGTCGTGTGTCCAGTGATGTACACGAAACATCTGACCTGACATCTGGATAAAGAGGAAATGACTGTAATAAGTTTCCCAACAACTCTGTCTCCTGTCACTGATGAGGTTCCATCCTTTAGGAGACTTCATGAGTCCTTGAAAAGGTTTGAAGAGTCCTTGAGAGGGGAGTCTTTGAGGTGGTTCTAGGGGGCCTTGAGGAAGATCTGTGAGTCCTTGAAGAGGTTCCAGGAATCCTCAAGATCACTGAGAAGTTGTAAGAGAGTTGAGGGACTTCTATGTTTCTTTAAGGGAGTTCTTTGTGCCAGTGACAGGTTCCTTGTGTTGTTAAGGAGGCTCTATGGATCCTTTAGGAGGTTCTTGGGATCACTGAGGAGAGCTGAGTGTGATTCACAAGGTTCCAGGAGGTTTTGAGGGAGTTCCAGGGTTGGTTCAAAAAGGTGTTATGAGGGTTTCATGAAGAGGTTTCAGGTAAGGATGATATCAATGTCCTCATCTGACTCTGGAGAACACAGAACTGGGAACACAGGTTAAATATTTACCTCAGGACCTTCCATTGTTCTCCAACATGCTCCTCCACTTCTTCATCTCCTCCCACATCAACCGCCCATTCTTCCTCTTGTCTCTGGTCCAGATGTAGGTCAGAGAGGAACCACAGTGGCAATCTTCACTGAAGATCCTCTTCACAGTTTTACTCATGTCAGGAATCAGACTTTCTAATGCCGACGCTTTCTGCAGGATCTGATCTTCCAGCTGTTGGCGTTTTGAATACAGCTTTCTGTAACTGCAGAACACATGCTGTCGTTCCACCAGCAGGTTCTCCACCTCTGTCAGCTTCTCCTGCTGATCCTGCTCGATGTAGTCGCGATAAATCCTGACCGTCACCTCCAGCTCCTCCACCTCCTTCTTCTTCGACTGGTACATCTTCCACACTACAAGAGAGAGAACAGGAGAAACCGAGGAGAATGAGAACCCACATCTGGTCCCTATTTAGAGTCAATGATTTTATATTGTTACAGCCTCCACACTATGAGACAGAACAGGAAGCAGACAGGTCAGTTTCTTTATAAGAACTACAATCCACAGGTTTAGTGAAAACCAGTCCAATGCCAAAGGTAAACCCCCTTTGGTTGTGCATTTGTGCATGTAGCGACTGTCAGTGAGAGTCTAGCGTCCTAGTGTCAGTGTTTTCATACTTTTTTTTACTGTGTTAATACTTGTTTGAGCACCACTCCATCTGGATCAAAAGGCTGAGATGAGGGGGAAAACTCAAGATGGTGGGATTTGCTTATATCTTGACAAACGATACTCAGCTATGTGACTGAGAACCCATTTGTGCGCCAGATGTTGAACTTCTGATGGTATTTTAACATTTTTGTACATTGTGTACATCCACCCCAAGGCCTCCAGCACAATATTTGATGTAGTGCAGAAACTGTAGTCAGTTTCACTTGGAGCACCAAACTTCATACTGGCTGATTTTAACCATTTAACCAAAGACACTTTCAAAATTTTATCAATATGTCCCCAACCAGGCGGGATAAGACATCAGATCTTTGGTACAGGTCAGATAAAGATGCTTATAAAGCACTCCCACTGCCCCCGCTGGGTTCAGTGGATCATCACTGTGTGAATTTACTGCCCAGATATAAGTCGGTTTGAAGGAGAGAGAAAGCACAGAGACAGAAGAATCTGTGCTATGCTGGCAGGAGAGTTTTGACCACTATGACTGGGACATGTTTAAAGAGTCCTGTGGTGGTGTCCTGTCTGTACGGACATGATAATTCCCTGTCAGCAAGTTAAGATTGACCCTAACATTAAACCATGGGTGACATGATCTGTTCAGTCCAGCACACAGAGGAAGAGACTTGTTTTTTAAACAGGGTGGAGGCTCTGATTTGCATACAGCCACCACAGAGCTGAAAATGCAAATCTGAAAGAAAATCAGAAGTATAAATCTGATATAGAGGACAAGATGCCTACAAATAATCCTGGGTCAGCTGGTCTGGCATGGATACTGTAGCAGGCCTCCAGAATCCACAGAGCAGCAGACGGGTCACTAGACGGCTTCAGGTCAGATACTGAGCTGGTTAACGCTCTGAACTGTTTTTTATAATCGTTTCAACACTTTTGATTTTAGTAAGAACTTGAGTCACAAACTTGCTCTTTGATAGTACAATTATTTATATGATATATTGATGGCACAGCTTCTTCCACAGTAAATAATCTGTAGGTAAAGATGGGTCGTCAGGCGGCACACCCGCAAGGTTTACACTGGTTTTACTCTTGGCCTTTAAAGTCAGCATCAATCTGAGCAGGTAAGGGATGACGACAAAGTCCTGAGAGCTGCTGGGTTTCACTTACAGAGAGCAGCTACACCCACAGCTCCACCTGTCGCTGCCAGAGAGAGGGAGAATGTCCACCATCCTCGTCCGCCTCCTCCTCTGACTTCACCTCCATCTTCCTCAGTGTTGAGGTTGTTCATGCTTGTCCTGCAGAGACACAGAGGAGTGAATTTATTACCAGTGGAGGAGGTTCTCTGATCTGTTCCTTCAGTGAAAGAATCAACACTACAAGTCAAAGTCCCTCTGACAAATTGCTGCTGCAGTAAAAGGCATCACAGCACCAGCTTTGAATATTGGAACATTATCATAACAGTGTTATAACTCTGACCTGATTGAGCTGCTGATTGCAGGGTGGAGTTTAAAAAGACTGAAGCCAAATCTCACAGTTTACTTCCTGTAGCGTCAGTGACCTCACAGCTGTCATATGTGAGAATAAAAAACCAGGATCACCATGTTACAGGAGGATGAAAAGACAAGAAATCTACAGGATAAAATATGACCTGAACATGACTTCTGTTACAATAACAAACTAAAGTGTTTTACTGCTTTCTGCTGTTGGTGTCCACTCGTAGAAACTGAGCTGTCAGAGGTAGACAAGGACGAGGAGCAGAGAGAGGAAGAGGAAGAGGAGGAGGAGAGGATGAACCATAAATAAATAAAAACTGTGTAAGTGTTGCCCCAGCAGGTGTTCACTGTGTGACCTTTACCCTCACACACCTGAACCTATAATGTCAGGTGTGAACAGACTGAAGTGAACAACAGGTGTCTGGGTGAACCGGTTTTTAAAACAGTCTGAAGGTAACACTGCAGTGAGCTGTGTGAACAACCTGCTGCTGTGACTTGGGCAAACTAAATTCAGTGGTGCTACAGGAAGTAGACTGTGTCTGACTTTACGTCATCATAACAAAATACTACATACATAAATGTCGTTTCACTAATCACCCCCCATTGTGGGATGCACTAAAAGTGCAAATGTATGTATGTATAAAATGGTCAAAGCGCCAATGTCAGAAAACTCTATAAACTTGTGTCTGAATATAATTCTATAATTATAATATAATTCTGATCCCTTACTCAGTTCCTCATTTTTATTTAATTATCATTTTAATATCTCTACTTGAAAACCTTGCGCAAGTGCAGATTCTTTCCTAAGTCCTTATAAACTCTCCTTCACTTCCTTCTTTGACGTCGTGACGTTTTCCGTGGAGAAGTGGTTAGGAAAAGAGACCGCAGCCCACGTCAAACGCAGCTAAAGTTGGACAAAATTCCTACCCAACATGCACCACGTTAAATCAGTGCTATGTTGAACGCACCTGATGTCACACTGAAGTTGACTGCTGTGGTGGTTCGTCCTGGCCTCGTGACACTTTATCACACGGAAACCTGCAGAGAATTTCTAAGGAATTGACACAAACATTCAATTAAAGATGAACAGATTAGAATTTGGTGGCCAAAGGTTAAAGGTCATTAGCCACACTGTTGCGGCGTGTCATAAAGCTTGAACAAATCAAACGGTTTTAATCACTCACATGACTCCGCTCTGACTGTAGACCAAGTGTGTACGAAACCGAAACTACAAATAAACGTTCCCGTTATTCTTCCGGTCTGTTTTCTGTCTGTCAGTCGGAACCGGTTCCAACTACAGTCTGAACTGGATCCTGACCCGGCTCCTCTGTGAGCGATCACTGATCAATAACCTTTGATCGATCATTGGGCCCGGTCAGCGTGAGAACATCAGAGTGAACTCACAGCGCCTTCACAGGTCGAACATAAACACTGCAGTTACACTATCACCAGAAGGCAGACGGAGGTTTGATTGGTTCATTTAAAAACACCTGTCACTCAACTTAGGCTCTGAATCAAACTTTACTGACACTGGTCAGTATGTATGAGTATTTTAAAAAAAAAAAATTAAATGTGTTTTTTTTTTTTTTTTACAGTTAAGTAAAGTAGTAATACTGCTATATAAAAATACAGTAAAAACATATATAAAATATTTAAAGTAGATGTTGTACAGAACAGTTAAATGATAGAGCCAAAGGTCCCGAAAGATGATCTGATGCGCTAATGTAAGCCCAGCAGTGCCTCACTCCCACCTGAACAGGTGTAGTCAGACACAGTACCTGGTAACACCTGTGTGTATGCAGGACCTTCTGTAAGAATACATCATATCTTAGAAACTGATCAGCCATTTTATTTGAGTCAAAGTGAATGCAGCTCTCAGGTAAATGTAAAGTAGAAGAAGAACAAAGTACAAATATACTTCTGTACAATGATGAGAAGCACTGCTTTTCTCATGTCGTCTGTAGAAGTCTAAGGGACATAGGAGAGTCTCATGTGGCTGTTAAAACAGAATCACTTGTTCTGTAGTAAGAACAACAAAAGTCTTTGTCAGAACATTAGAATCAGGTTGGTAGAACCTTATCGAACACAGAGACACTGCTGCTGCTGTCACTGTCACAACCACAGTTCAAGTCTGTAAGAAACAAGCTTCTGGTGCAGTAACCAGGTGAGAACTGTGCAGGTAAACACATGCTTAAATAGACGGGGGAAGTTTGGGGATCTGCTGAATGTTAGAGAACATAGAACGTCAGGACTCTCCTGATAATGGAACCATCATCCTGCTTCATGTTCTGACCTGCAGGATTAACACTTTAAATACTACATTACCCATGAGCCTCCATGGCTTTTGCTGTTCAGTGCTCTGATTTAAACAGCTTTAAACAGAGAGCTGAAGCTCATTTTATGCTTCGTAGAAATGCACCATCGGAGTCGTAGGTAATGTCTACTTCAAAGTTTTTATGTCCATGCGTGTTTGTAACGTTGACTCTTTTACAAATCTGAAACAGGTGTGTCTGCTGCAGTCTGTCTGAGATGACAACTATGAGGACAACAATGATGATGATGATGATGATGATGATGAAGAGTTTCCGGCATAGCTCTGCAGGAAGTGGTCCAGACTGAAGACCGTCCCCCAGCCAACAGCCGGGTCCATACTGATGAAGTCATCCAGGTTCATGTGACTCTCTGAGGAGGGAATGCATCACAGCATGATGTCATCATGAGGTCATATGGCATACATCATCAGACATGCTGAGGTTACAGGAGGTGTCATGTGACCTGTGGTGTGTATGGGTGGGTAGGGTGGGGGGGGCATCCTCCAGGATCCATCAGAAGTCTTCATGTGAGATCGGTCAGATGCAAAGTTCAACAGGAAACTGTCAGCAGGTACAACACGCAACTTCCTGTTAGTGGAGAGAAAGGTACAATGTGTTAGCTGTGGTATACAGTTGTGTTAGCTGTGGTAGTAAGGTGTGTTGGCTGTTGTGTTCAGCTGTGTTAGCTGTGGTATACAGGTGTGTGATATGTGGTGTTCAGGTGTGTCACCTGTGGTACTCGGGTCTGATGTTGCGGTCTGAACGGAAGGCCTGGGCGGCGTATAGTTTCAGGCTGCAGGGAAACGACAGCTCAGAGTCCAGATCATAAACCAGAGAGTCCGACTGAAGACCCGCCTGCAGCAGGATCACGTGATAGTCCTGAAACACACCATGATGTCATTAGTGATGTCACAATGACATATTACTGTAACTATTCGATGAACTGTCTGTGACATCACTAATATTATCAAACACAGTGACATCACAGACCCAGATCACTGGCCGGTCTCCATGTCCAGACTTCTGTTTCCACAGAGGAACCTGATGGAGTACAGACATATATTTCAGAGAGCCTGACAAATGTTTTATAAAACCATGTTTCAAAGAATGTTGTAGAACCGTGCAGATGTTTTAAGGAACCTTACAGAACTTCACAGATGTTTTATAGAACCTTATAGATTTTTCAGAGAAGAACTTTTTATAACCTGACAGATGTTTAAAGAACATGACAGATGTTTTATAGAACATCACAGATTCTGACGGATATTTTGGACATTCTGTGGAACTTGGCACGTAGCTTCATGTTCTACTGTGTGTTCTCACCATTCTGTTTTTATTAGAGATGAAAATCACAAACAGTTGTTCCAGTGGTACAGTTCTTTCCTGTCTGACAAACTCACAGAGTTTCCAAACATTTTCCTCACTGTGAAAACAAGAACAAACAACAGGACCTCAAACAGTCAGACACCAGTCTGTGTTGAACTGGATTTAACTACAATTTCTATGAGTAAAACTCTAACATTGCAATGAGCAGACCCCAACTGATCAACACACTCAACAGCCAATCAGGTGTTAGAACGTTCTATAAATTACATGTTTGATTTCTCCTAGAATGGAGAACGAGGATCTATCTGTCAGCAGGTAGAACACAGGTTACATCAAGTGACTGTCCTAACAGACTTGCCCCAAGGTTGATGATGTCCAAGACCACTCAGCTGTCTCACCTGAACAGAACCTGGTGTTCTGTATCAGCATGTGAGAATTCTGTCTAAATAAAGATCAGTACAGAACTGACCTGATCAATAAGAAGCTGATCGATTATTGATCTGTTGGTGTCAACAATTATCAACAGAAACAGCTGATCGCCTATTGATATGCTGATGATTAAACTGCTGCTGTTAAAATGTGAAAACACAACTGACAAATAGCTGTTCGATAGTATCAATGAAGTAGAAGAAGCTTCTGATTTTTTGCAGTGTCACAATATATGTAGTAAATATTTACAGTGTAACTTGTAGCATCACAGAGTATACTTTGTAGTGTAATTTGCAGTATAGTTTGTAGTAACAGCCGATTTACCAGTAACAGCTGGTGTAAACGCAGCTTTCGCGGGACGGTATGATTCTGTCTTCGCTCTTCATCTTGGTGCTACACTGAAAACGCTCCGCCGGAAGTAAATGTATGACGTTACATCCAGTTAGCACGGTAATTAAAAGCGTGAGCAGAGAAACTTGTTTTAATTGGTTTCCTCCGCCAAGACCAATCAATCCTACACGTCTTTTATTTCTTCAGTCACACAACACACCTGTATGGTTTTATTACCTGTGAAATGATGACGTCAGCAGCTCCATTGCTGTATGAATTGTCTCATTGTTGTGTCACAAACACTCACTGTATTAGCTTCATGTTTAATGAGATACTAATGTAATCATTCCTCAATGCTGCAGCTGCCGCCATATGTACTGTTACTATTAATAATACAGTTCTGTGATGTGGATTCAGCATTCTCTTCCCCCAGGTCCAGATTATTATCTGCACCAAACTATACACACGTAGGTCAACACCAAAAATATCAGATTTTTACATCAAGATCCAAACATTATTTCATGATAAATTGACAATGTTCTGACAGTGTTGAAAAACGCTCTATCTCACATTGTTAAGGAAGGTGATTAAAAAAAACAACTCCTATATCCACCCCTTTAACTGGATCAGCACCAAAATGTGGGTTTCTCCCTGGTCCACGCCCCATCCCTCCAATAAGTCTGATGCAAATTTTTTCAGTACTCGTAGCGTAATGTAACAGGTTAAGTTAACTAACTCTAAATTGCCCATAGGTGTGAGTGTGAATAACAAACAATAACAGGCAAATAAACAGGTCAGAAAGTTTGAGTTTAATTAAAAACAAACAAAGGGGAAAAAAAAAACAGATTTTAGGTTAAAGATGAAAACAGTCAAACAGCACAGTTTCTCCAACAGCCTGTATCCTAGCAACCACATCACCGACTCGTCGACTGGTTGGTTGCTGTAGGGGTTGCCAGGCAGTTTGCTATGTGAAGAGGCGGATGGTGGCGTCGGCTCCGGAGGAGAAGATCCAGGGCTGTGTGGGGTGAAAGGTGACATCTAGAACACCGAGGTCATGAGTACTCACATGACCTCTGAGGACCTTCACTGGGACAATCAACGGGTTCTGCAGCAGGTCACTGGAGAGGAGGAGGTGGGTGGGGTTAGTGTTTATCTGTGTGTGTCTGTGTATTTATGTGTGTATGAATGTACATATGAATGCGTGTATTACTTATAAACAGTCCCGTGACAGACGATCACCGATCCATCATCAGACGCTGAAGCGAAGAGTGGGTAAACTCTATGATAGGCCACGCCCCTCACTGCCTTCTTATGGTGTCTGCAGACAGGCAGTGATCAATATGATCAATAAGATCAATACTACAACTCATAGTAGGAGCAATCACAACCTAATCAATACTAACACATCAGTACATTTATGTCCAAAACTGTGACATGACGATTCATTCACGAGAACAATGACAGCTGTGAGTTTGATGGACAGATACATACCGCAACACCTTGTATGGCTTGGTTGAGAGGTCGAGGTCAAACCAGCTCAGCCTGCAGTCGTAACTCCCACAGATCACATGATCACCTTCAGACAGAAGAGAGACAGGTGAGACAGCGGCTCAGCCCCTTAGCAGTGATGTCACATACTGACAAACCATATTGTGTAATAAAGTGGGTGTCACAATGAAGCCGGTGTGGCGGTGAATTTGGTGGATGTGGTTACCCCCAGGGTGGATGGCCATGCTGGAGATCCACTTGGAGTTGGCCTGTAGTTTTTTGGTCATTTCCTGTTTGACCAGGTTGTAGATCCGGACAGAGCGCTGTGTGGCCACAAAGAAGTAGGGCCGGACGGGGTGAAAGGATACGCACTGAACCAGACCTTTGTTCTTCCTGAAGGGATTCTGGCTCCGTCTCCGGCTCACCTGATGAATGAAAACCTGCAGGTGGCTTGAGTGATCCGGCATCACCGATGCCAGGTAGTCTCCTTTAGCGTGCCACACGACCTGGTGTACGGCCTGAGGGATCAATACTGATCAGTTAGTTCTGCCCAAATGTTCATCAGGAATCTACAATCAATGAGTGTTTTCTCACTTTGGGATGTTGTATTTTGAGGCGGATCCCCTGGTTTAGCTCCTCCCCCTCAGTCTCACTCCAGATGACAGGCCCTGCCCCTTCTGTTGGCTCTGTCTCCTGCTCACCAGAGAGGAGACGCTCTGATGACGAGATGACCTGTCTGTCTGCCAGAGAGGGAGACAGGATCAAGACCACCGAGTCCCTGAAACACAGAGAATTTGAACAGATCTTTATTTGTTGTGTACAAAACTACACTTTGTTTTACACTTGTCCAGATTCACATCAGCACTGGCCTGCAAATGAGTTGATCCTCTCCTACAGAGCACAGCGCCCCCCACAGGTTAATAATAACCACACAACCTCTGTAAAACGTTAAAGTAGAGGCCACTTTATCACGACGACCTTCGACCTTTTCTAAAACATTCTAAAACTGTTCATGTCCTACTAAGACTCCAAAATATTTCAGCCTGTCCAGGTAGTCACCTTTATTAATAGATATTAAGATATTAATAACATCATACATTTTTCTAAATCAAATTTTACAAATTAATAAATTAAAGCAGAACAACTGAAAACATCCTCAGTTCCCGGTGGAACTCTGCTGGACTCAGAGGTCAAAGGTCTGATGTTTGCTGACGACCTGGTTCTCATGCCCCCCCACACACAGAGAGGGTTTTACAGCAGAACCTGGACATCCTCCTTGAGCTCAGTCCAACATGGGGACCAACTGTAAATAAGGTGGACATGTAAATGAATGGATAGGCAGACGGGTCCTTACAGGGCAACAGCCAGCAGACAGACAGATGGGTTTGGGTTCCAAGCGATGTTCTTCACAGCTCCGCCCACCTGGACTGTCTTTATACAGCGAGACGAACACACCTCCCAGAACCTCACAGAGCCATCATCACTACCTGGATACACACAGTACAAGTACACACAGTATAGAGTTATATACACAGAGCCATCATCACACATGCTGTAGTTCTGGTCCAGGGTGTATGTTTTCCTCATGTGACAGTAACAGGACTAAACGAATGTCTTCACATCTTTATCAAATTTCAGCTGCTGATCTGGACCAGACACCAGTCACTAGATCTAACAGATAAGAGTTGTGCATCACCAGCATAGCAAAGACAAAAGACACAACCAAATGGATCAGGTGCCTGAAGGGGAGCATAAACAATGAAAATAAAACGGGTCCAAGAACTGATCCCTGAGGCACCCCATAGGGCCAAAGGAGCTCAGCTGGCAGCATCAACTGAAACAAAAAACATCCAGTGAGACAAATATGAGCAAAACCAGCTTAGTGCTACACCCAGTTTTCTATGATCAATAGTGTCAAAGTAAAAGGACTAAAATGACCGGTCTAACTGCCTGAAGATGTCAGTCCACCAGTCTACAACCAGTACTGGATGTTTTCTACAATCTGACATGTAAAAGATAACTTACACACAGCTCTGTAGTTCATTGGTAAGATAGGATCCAGGGGCCACCTTGAAGGATTCAGGTATGCTGCCTGATGAGAGGGACTGGTTGATAATAGTGAACAGAGATGGTCCAGAAACACTAACTGCCTCTTAATTAATTTGGGAGGCACCATGTCAAAGTGACAGGAGTGTGGGAAACAGTGTCAATCAAATCACTGAGGGAGATGGGAGAGAACTGGCGTACGAGGACAAGACTGGGACTGGGGAGGCTGAGGGGCACAACAGACAGTTTAATTCTGTTGATTGTATCCACAAAAAAAGGATAAAAAAATTTTCACAATCCTCAGCTGAAGGTGGGACAAGCAGGTGGCTGATTAGAGATAAGAAAATAGAAAATAAGAAAATAACCTGGGACTGTTTTTGTTTGTGGTGATGAGATTATTGAAATAAACAGTTGGTGTTTTGCGTCATTTTTTGATTCAGCTGATCATCAAATCTTTGCGTGTAGTGAACAAAGCAGTCGTGTATTTTCCACCTGGCTCTGCTCGTAGAGATGAACAGGTCACTGCGGACGTAGGAGAGCAGTGATCTTCGTTTCTGGTGAGCTCAGATTCCTGAAGGGTCATGACATTTCCACATTTCTCAAATGAACTATTATTTTTCTTAAAAGAGGTCAGAAATGAGGACAGTAGATCCAGGTGTCAGGGGATCCAGGGACACAGTGGACCTTTCTGGTTAAGGAATCTCCAATAATTAATGCAGTGGAGGAGGTGATGATGCGTGTTACTACGTGGACCTTCTGAGCGTCCAGCTGGCCAGACCATCTGATCACAGCCTCCTTCAGCATCCTGTGACTGGAGGAGAAGAGTGGAACCCATGTTTGTTTGAGGGTCCCATGATGGGCCGGCCTGATTCCTGATCCATGCCAGTGACACGTCAGTTGGTAGCGTGTCCGCGGGGGCATCTACCGCAGGGGCATCTACCGCAGTACGTGAAGCGTGAAGGACCAGAATGTCATAAGGCCGGGTCATACAGCTACTGAAGAGGCAGGCTGTCTGAGTGTCTCTTGGGACCATGGGCCACCACCTTGGCACAGGACAACAGATGGATCAGTGTCGAGAAGGAAGAAAGCCGTGGGCAGGTGGAGGGGTCCCACAGAACTGTGCCCTGAGAGAGGCAACCTGTTTGGACCGCCCAGCTGCCACATCCATGAAGCTGGACAGATGTTCATCAGAAAGATGTCCTCCTTAAGACCAAGGAGGACCTTTTAGTTTTTTTTCTGGAGGAGCACAGCTCTCACAGGGATGGAGTTGTTTAAACCTCAGTGATGGATCAAGTAAAACAAAGAAATTCAACAGAGAGTAAAGAGAATATCATCACTGTTACTATAGCAACCCGAGGGCATCCCTCTAAACAACCAGCAGCATGTTGTCAAACAGGTGGAACATGTAGTGATAGATGAGTTACCTGAAGCGAGCCACTGTCCTGATGGAGACACACTGATGGACCGGACCAGACCACTGTGACCCCGGTACACCTGAACACAGACACAGGTAACACAGGTACATACAGGTACATGATGTTAGTTAGGAAACACCAGTCTGCTGGCAGTGTGTGTGTACATCTATATTAGTGAAGACCAATTTCAGTTTTAAACCATCACACTGAGGACATTCCTGGTTTGTGAGGACAGGTGAGTGGTTCAATTAGGTGGTCAGCAGTGTGGAGGTGTGTGTGTGTGTGTGTGTGTGTGTGTGTGTGTGTGTGTGTGTGTGTGTGTGTGTGTGTGTGTGGGCCGTGGCCGTGAGCGTCCTCAGGAGAGACAAAATAAGTTATCTCCACATTTAAACCATCACAGAAGAATTAAAAACAAACCAGAGATTGTGTTGTAGGAAACGGCTGCAGGTCTTTGGGTTTTGGAAGTTTTGGGATCAAATCCTCTGGATTCACGTTCACCTGCAGACACACAGACATTATTGATCATCTCCACAGTCAGATGCTCCGATTAGCTGTTACTGTATCAATTTTCTCTCAGGTTTTTTCAGACTCCAGCGACACCAGCTGCTCAGAAGAAAGACCTGACGGTAGTTACCCTCATCTTCCTCTGTCGAGGACACAGGTACAGGTCGAGGCAGCGCTCAAACCTGTCGTGGATGAAACGAGGAAACGCAGGAACCTGACGGAGACTGGAGAACTTCATGGGAACGTAAGGCAACTTCCTGTCTGACGGATCCTGCTGCTCCCACAGAGCTCGCTGCAGAAAGCAAGACAGATGGAGGCAGATGGAGAAAGAGAGAGATGGGATGATTCATAGTTCTATCTATTCTATAACCAGGTAAGTTCAACTCTTCAGCGGATGAGATACCTCCTCGTCTGTGAGCAGATACTCAGGTGGGGGGTTGTAGGACTCCTGATGACCAGGTAGAGGCGTTTTGGGGGCAGGCAGGTGCATCCTGTGTTTGGCTAGAATAGAAGAGTCCTCACTGGCCCAGAGGTCATAGTAATGTCCCCTACTGTCCTCCTCCACCCGCCGAGGTTTGATCCAACCCATCTTTATTGCATGGACCAGTTTAGACACCTGCACAAAGATGAGAGACGGAGGGACAGACAGACAGGTGAGAGAGGGAGAGACAGACAGACAGGTGAGAGAGGGAGAGACAGACAGGTGGAGAATCTGTAGACTTTCACAGTGAAGGAGCTGCAGTGTGTTTGTGTGTTTACCTTCTCCTTCTCGATTAGTGAGGGGATGAAACTGCGTTTGTCTGCAGGTCTGTTAGTGACTGGATGAAGCATCACGTCTTTACTGAAGAACTCAACTGAGGGCTGAGGAGGAAGAGGGGGAAGTGAAGGAGGGAGAAGAGGAGCGGATAGAGGTAAAAGGAGGGAAGTGGATCAAAGGTCATTATCAGCCATGTTTTGATGTGAGGCTAAAAACAAGAATCCATGCATCATATTTAACCAAATAAAGCTTCAGCTTCGCTGTGTCTGATGATGTAACATTTAAAAGCTTGTTATGGGACAACAGGTGTCCGGATGTGTCCATCCTGTCCAGCAGAGACAGGTTAATAAAGGTTTACTTTGACAGAAAACACACAAACATGTTTTAAGACATCCACAGGCTAAGGGGCAGAGTCTCACCTGAGTAACATAAGCGTACCTGGTACTCGTTGAAGTTGACGTCCCCAAACTGTCCTCTCTGCAGACGATTCACCAGCTCCACTTGTTCGTCTGAGAGGACGATGTCACTTCCTGTCTTCTTGTCGTGGACCGTTCTCCTGAAAACAGACCGCTGTTAGCTGAGAACAGCTTGTTAGCATTATTACCACTCCCTCTTTAAAACAATAGGGGACCTAGCATCATGCTAGCAGCCTCACCAGTATTCTGGGTTCTCCATTTTGTCCAGGAAGTCATCGAGTTCATCCTTGTTCCTGATTGGTTTGTAGATCTTTTTCCCGTCCAGGTCATAGCCAATGTGTGGGAAATCTCTGTACCACTCCATGGGGATGTTTCCCACAGTATTCCTAATGTCCTGCAGAACCACAAGAACATCAGGACAGAACAACAGAGCTAATGTCTCTAGAAAGTGTCAGAGAAAATAATAGAGGATTGGTAAACAGTAGAGAGAGAAGAGTCGAGAACCCAGGAGAAAGTTAGGGACCCCAACAGAGCAAATGATTAAGGAGAACCCTGAAAAATATCACAAAATCCAACAGAACAAAGTCCCTGATTCTGAAGAATGTGAACCCTACAGATCTTAGAGAACCCAGAGGAACCTGAACAACACACAGGTTCTGTGATTTAAAACACAAACTGGCCTCACCTCCTCGTCTGAAGAATCATGTTCATACTCGTCTTCCTTCGTTTCTTCTTCCCCTTCTGTCACTCCTTCCTTCTTCTTCTTCTTTTTCTTCTTCTCCTTCTGCTCCTCTGTCTACAGGTACAAGAGAACACAGGTGATGCTCTCCAGGAGAACACTGATAACAGCAGCAGCTTTTTCACAGGTGAGTCACACCCGGCTTATCTGTCAAGCTGACAGGTTAAACTCTACCTGTTGAATCTGCTCTGACTCCGTCTTCACATCAACAACATCATCATCATCATTATCATCATTATCCTCCTCCTCCTCCTCCTCCTCCTCATCATGTTCTGATCCCTCCTCTTCATCTTCATCATCCTCACTGTCACTCCCAGAATCCTCCAGTCCTGAGTAGACGCTGTCCTCACTGTCTGACAGATCTTCATTCTCCTCATCTTCCTCAGCAGGTTTGTGGTTGAAGTTGAAGATCTGAAGAATAAACAGAGACTTAGATTTAAATGACCAAATACCACACCAGACTCATTTCAAAACCTGCTGATTGTAGCAGAGCATTTCTGAAACACACAGTCTTTCAGAAGCTCAGAAACTTCGTTTTATATCAGCATAAAAAAATTATTTTAAATGTGAGAAACTGTTTCTCAGTCATCTGACATCACCTCCAACATAACTGTATTTAAAGGATGAAAATAGATTTTTTTATTAAATTAGTGTTTACAGGGGGGACACTGACAGTAACAACAAACATAAACAAATAACTCTAATTTAAGTAAAGGTATAGGAGACTGTTTATATGCCGAGTTGTTAATCAGAGTGTCCTGATACTGAGCAGGTTCTCAGTCATGTCTGAAAAGGTTTAACACAGTTTAAAGAAAAGCAGAGCATCGTAAAACCGTCAGATTCTGAATGGCATTTGGCATTTGGTTTGAGTCTCAGTCATAGCAGCGTCTGCTCGCTGTGCTCAGAGAGTATTCGAGGTAAACAGCTAATATGCTAACAACCAATGCTACAATATCATTATTATTCAGATGCCAACTGTCTGTTTGGTGGTACAAAGTTAATAGCACTGTTGATTCCAGTACAACAGTAGCTAGCTTTAGCTAACACCAAAATGTATTTTCCTTAAGATTCATGATCGCACTGCAACAAAACTCCATTCACAATACGACCATTTATCACCGTAATTATGCAGCTGATACCAGAGTCAGTATCTGTTATTCGTGTATTTGGTCTGAAAAATATATGGTCTGAGGAAGAGCAGAACATCATAAAATGGAAAGATTCTGAATGGAGCTGGGCGTGCGTCTCTGTCCGTCTGCGCACTGAACATTAACTAGCAGTTAAATGTTCACTGTATTGCCTGTTGTGTTTTAAGTGAATAATACTAATGAACCCAAAATAACATGATCTGGCTTTAGGTATGATTAGGCGGTTTATTCCAGGACAGTCGACCTGATGGATGCTGTCCTATTTCTTTTCAGAACTCCACTTAGAATCTGATCATCTTTCTGCCCTCGGCTTCTGTTGATCCCTTTAGAAACTGGGTTCAGGTTCTGGTTAAGTCAGCTGGACTTGGTCTGGTCTCCTCTTCAGTTCGGCTGAGCTCTCTGAACATGCACACCGTCGGTTACTCTATATTTTTTCTAATTATTTTTCTCTCTGACTGGCGACAGCAGCGTGTTTTGGTGTACCTTCCTCTCGTTAGCATGCTAACAGCTTACCGCCAGCTCTTCACCAGCTCCCCCACTTTACCCACTAAACCCAGACCTCGTCCTGTCTGTATGTTTCTCACCTGGTCCTGATCCTCGTCCTCCTTCTCTTTACTTCTCTTCTTTGCTGTTTTCTCACGGACTTTCTTCATGTCTTCTCTCTGTTCGCTACTCCGCATGTTTCCGCTGCTCCCCTCCATTGACCCACGTGGGAGCCCCCGGGGTCAAAGGTAATGCGTCACAGCAGAGGAGTTTACTGTTGGCGCCATCTTCTGGTCTTTACATTTAGTTGGTTTTCGACTTTGACTTGTTCAACGTAAACTGTCGATGACTGCAGGAAGCCTGGGGTTGAACAGTCTCAAAAGTATTCACAAACAAATGTCAAGTTACGTTTCCAGTGAAACAAAATTCACAAATAAATACAGAGTGATTTGTGTCAGTAAATCCATGTGTTCCTATAGTTTACTACTCCTATAACTTACAGTTTTTCATTGTTTGTGAATCTCCACCTGATCCTTCTGAAATTCTTCCACCCACGTAAAAGAGAAGGAACAAGTGGCTGTTAAACTAAACAGAAGAAGAAATGCATGATCTTCTTCATCGCTATAGCAACCAAATATAATATTTCTATAGTAAAGAGAAATCTGGGAAAAGCTGTCAGCTATAAAATCCTTAGGTTTCAGGATGTAGCTCACACAAAGAGCAGTTTACATCTGTGTCACCATTTAACTCCAAACTTTGTTCCTGTCCATATTACTAACAAAATGACTCCAGTAATATTTTGCTAAAGTAGTAGAAACCAAATTGTCTTGAGACAATGCCCTTATTCTGGAGTTCATACATCTATTAAAAGAAAAACAGAGTTTGCCTAATGAATGAATGTCCTCAGGGGTTGACACTGACAGAGGTCACCATTCCTAAATCGCATGGATCAGATGAAACAGCATCAAAAACTATTGAACATTATTTTGGAGTTATTGTTTTTTTTTTATTAGAAATTGTGAGTAATTAAACATCAGTCCAACTTTGTTAAATCATTACAATAACACCATTGTTAAACCATGTATCATAAAATAATTACTTGCTATTACAGTTGTTTCAAACAACATCTGTGTGGAGAGAAACTGTGCTTTGAAATCAGTGCCTACCCCAAAAGAACCTGACGAAAAGTTAATGATTTCAAACCTCTTTTATCCAAAGACCCTACAAGGATACAAAAAACAGGATGAATACAATTAGAAACAAAAAGAAGAACAAGGATAATAAAAGGGTACATACATGTTTAAATTAAAAATAGGTTTTAAGGCAGTGTAGATGACCATAGTCCTAATGGCTCTCTGATTTGTCAGTCCTTTGACTGTTTCAAAGTACAGTTTCATTTCACGCTTGAACTGGATACTGTGGGTTTCCTTTCAGACCATTTGAATTTATGGATATTAAACTTACCATTTATTGATTCTGTCCAGATCTATCTTTTCTGTAAATTATTCTTAGTCCCACATAACATATGGAAAACATTTTCAACATCATTCTGCAAGAATGTAACATGAATGTATTCAGTAAAATAAATGCAGTTGTCTCTGTGCCAGTATTATAGGGAAATGTATCATAACATAAATTTAAGAAAGTTACATTTATTGTCCTTTATATTGATTTAAAGATTTTATCAAAACACCTGTCTCAAACATAGTCTGCTCATCAGACACGTTGCTGCAACAGTCGATGCAGGTACAACATCAGATACTTTAGATGCTGTCGATTTCGATGTTCCCCTTTCTAGAATCACGTACGTCACAACGCGACCAAACGTCCACGTTACGTTTGCGACGTCATTAGGTGGCGTCAGGTTACTCGCTACGCAGTTGTTGGTTTGTGGGTTGTTTTAATTTTCCACCGTGGGATTTTCACTTAAATAGACGTTAATAAACCTTCTGTGGACCGTTAAAGACCGACAGAGTCCAGCAGCGGAACCGAGGCCCCTGTGATCCGGGTCAAACCTCATTCCGGATCAGTGTCGCGGTTTGTTCGTTGGTTTGAGCAGCGGATGGTGCTAACAGCATGCTAATGCTTAGCATCGTTAGCTCAGATTAGTTGCGGTGTTTCAGATTTATAAACCAGAGTGCGGCCGATTTTATTTCTCTGATGGAGTATCCAACAGGAGGTGGAGGAGGGGCGGTTATCAGCGGAGGGAACGTCCCGGCCTTCCTCACTAAACTGTGGACCCTGGTGGAGGATCCGGACACCGACCCGCTTATCTGCTGGAGCCCGGTACTCACTTATTTTACTGTAGCAGGGAGCTAACGTTTAACAGTTAGCCGGCGGAGGACAAGGAGAAGAGTTCCACTTTAATCAGAGAGACAGGGTAAATAGATGTTAGCTGTTAGCCTGTCAGGTGACGCTCATCACCCGAGCTAACATGCTAACAGCAGATAAGAGATAATGAGATCATCAGCAGAGGGAAAACAACCTGCTCACCTGAATTAGATCAGACCAGTTTAATCTTTCCCGGTCCACTAGGAGTCCATCACCTGTTGGTTTGTGTCAGTGCTGAACAGCTGAACTGATTTTCTGACAGTGTAACGTCACAGTTTCTTTTAGAGCAGCTAAAAGAAGATCTACCCCCCCCCCCCCCCCCCACACACACACACACAGACACACACACACAGACACACACATAACAATAACACTAGTAACAGTAACAGTAGTATTAACAGTAATGGTTATAATAATAATAACAGTAGTAATAACAATACCAGTTGTAGTAACACCTATAGTAAAAACTGTAACAGTAGTAATAACAGTAGCAATAATGAGAGCAAAAATAACAGTAGTAATAACAATAACAGCAGTAACAATGGTAACAGTTGTAATAATAGTAACAGTAGTGTTCACAGTAGTAATAATAGTAATAGTAGTAATTACAGTAGTAATAGTTTAACCAAACCAGACTCAGCTGGATAAACTGGAACAGACTGATCCTGGTTTATCAGGAAGATCAGAGTCCTGCTGAAGACTCTGGTGTCTTCATGTGTTTTCATTGTTAATACTGATGATTATCTGTGTGTTCTCTGTGTGTTCTGTTTCAGAGTGGAACCAGTTTTCATGTGTTTGATCAGGGTCGGTTCTCTAAAGAAGTTCTTCCAAAATTCTTCAAACACAACAACATGGCAAGCTTCATCAGACAGCTCAACATGTGTGAGTATAAACAGCATCACTGACAGATCATATATCATATCAAGTTTTATCTTTACATCACAGTTAACAGCTTTTTAAACACATGAAGAAAGTTCTGGTTTGGAGCTATAACAGTCAGAATGAGGCACTTTCAGTGAGGAGCTGTAATGAAACACAGCTGACTGCTGTCTGTTTGTATGATGACATTAAATTTGTTGTTTTGTGAATGGATTTCTGTACAGATGGCTTCCGTAAGGTGGTGCACATTGAGCAGGGCGGTTTGTTGAAACCAGAGAGAGACGACACAGAGTTCCAACATCCGTTCTTTATCAGAGGACAAGAACACCTGCTGGAGAACATCAAACGCAAAGTCACCAACGTATGCATCTGTATATACCCCTGTACACACCTGTATACACTTGTCAGTGTTTCCCATACATTGATTTATTTGTGGCAGCACAATACTATATCAACATTTACCACCACATATTCATTTTATATATTTTTTTCTACTTTCAAATGAAATCTTATTCAATTGTAGAACTGCACCTAGTGCATTGATTCACCGTCAAAACATCCATGAAGTTTTGACGGCCTCTGTCCGTCTCTTTACTGGCCCATTCTGTGTACCTGTCATTCAGGGTGTACGTTAGAGCTGCTGTGTGCGGGCACTGTGCTCACTGACCTGACCTGGGTCGAGGGCAATGGAGCTGTGTTATTCAGTTCATTTATTTTTAAAATACAAAATACTTTGCAACTAAAATGCTAAAATGCTTCTATATGTTATTATATAGTAATTCATGGAAGAACATACCTGCAGATACACTTGTATGCACATCAACTCATTAATGTATATACCTGGAGCAGATACACACCTGTACAAATGGTGTACATCAGTCTGCCCCGGTCTCCATGATGACCATCTCTCTGTCACTGGTTTAGGTGTCCTCTGTACGTCAGGAAGAAGTCAAGATCTCTACAGATGAAGTGAACAAAATCCTCAATGACGTCCAGCTGATGAAGGGAAAACAGGAGACCATTGACTCCAGGATCATTGCCATGAAACAGTAAGACCAGAACCAGGTCAAGACCTGTTAAAGACCTGGTCAGGGGCTTCATTTATAAAACCTCAAGATCCAAATCTAAAGGTTACATTCTCACAAAAATGAAATAGGAAACCACTGATTCCACTATAAGACCAGACTCTCAACACCATAGACCAGAACCAGATCCCCTTTAATCCAGCAGTCAGTAGATCTACTCAATATTAACCCCTGTATATACTCCATCTGCATATGTCCATATACCTGTTTATGTATACACCCCCTGAGCACTTTCTTAGGAACACCTGTTTGCCTGCTTATGAATGCAATCATCCAATCGCGCAGTCATGTAGCAGCAGTGTATAAACTTGTGCGGGTCCAGGTGAGGAGCTTCAGTTATTGAGGAAAAATGTGATCTCAGTGATTTTGAGCGTGATATGATTGTTAGTGTCAGACGGCTGGTTTGATTGTTTCTGAAACTGCTGATCTCCTGGATTTTCACACACAACAGTTTCTAGAGTTTTTACTCAGAATGGAGCAAACAACAAAACTATCCAGTGAGCAGCAGCTCTGTAGAGGAAACACCTTGTTGATGAGAAAGGTCAGAGCAGAATTGACAGACTGGTTGGAGCTGAAAGAAAGGCTATGGTCACTCAGATAACCACTCTTTACAACTGTTGGTGAGCAGAAAAGCTTCAGAATGAACAACATTTAGCCAAGAACAGAAACCTGAGGCTGCAGTGGACACAGAATCATCAACACTGCACAGTTGAAAACTGGGGAAAACCTACCTGGACCGATGGATCTGGATTTCTGTTGAGGCAGCAGATGGTACGGTCAGAGTTAGAATCCATGGACCTAACCTGCCTTGTGTCAACAGTCCAGGCTGGTGGTGTAATGGTGTGGGGAATGTTTTCTTGACTCACTTTGGGCCTTAATACCAATCAATCATGGTTTGAATACCACAGACTATCTGAATATTGCTGCTGACCATATTCATCCCCTTATGGCCACAGTTTACAATCTTCTAATGGCTACTTCCAGTAGGATAATGCTCCATGTCACAAAGCTAAAGCTAAAGTCAGAGTGAAGGGAGGCCCTGCACAGTGTTAGTATGGTGTTCCTTATAAAGTGCTCAACGAGTGTATCTGTATACTTTATATCTGTGTATATGTGTATGTATCTATTTATCTGTGTTGCAGTGAGAATGAGGCTCTGTGGAGGGAGGTGGCCAGTCTGAGACAGAAACACGTTCAACAGCAGAAAGTCGTCAACAAGGTACTTCTCCGTAAATCAGTACACTAAGACGACAGAGTACACAGACGAGAGCACACAGTCGAGAACACACAGTCAGCACAATGCTAACAGAGCTATATCACCCATTAGCATGTTAGCTTAGCTTCTATCTGAGCTAATAATAACTCTTTCTCTCTGCAGTTGATCCAGTTTCTGGTGTCTCTCGTCCAAACCAACAGGATCCTGGGAGTCAAGAGGAAGATGCAAGTTTACTACTAATAATACTACAAATACTACAAAAAATACTGCAAAAACTACACACTTAACTACTAATACTACAGAGTTCACAGCTGTATCTTCCACTGATTTGAATAATTAAACTCAGGTCTCATGAAGATGTGAAAAATGTTTAAAAAAACTTTAAACCAGATGTTTCCAACTGTCAGAGGGTCAACTTTAGTTTGAAATGTAGTGAATTTTTATTTTGAAGTACCACTTCCTTCCTCAGTGTAATGAGACTTTGAATGAAATAATTATCGGCTCATTTAAAGTGTTCAGTTCATAGTGAACATGTCTCTCTCTGCAGTCCTCTGATGCTGAATGACTCCAGCTCCGCCCACTCCATGCCTAAATACAGTCGTCAGTTCTCATTGGAGCATATGCAGGTAAAGTGACGTCACTTGTATGCTTGAGTTTTTTTCACATCAGTCAGTTTTTGAGTCAGATCAGAGGATAGTGATCCAGTCAGTCTTACGGTTCTTCTTTAGGCTGCAGCCAGTCTGTTCTCAGCTGAGTCCCCAGTAACCTCTGGACCAATCATCTCTGACATAACAGAGGTGACCACGCCCACTTCAGAGGATGTGGTCAGTGATTGGACGGACACAGGGTGAGGACAAATCAGATCTGTAGTCATTAACTGATTTGTCCGTCAGCATTCACTAATACTGGTTTCACTGTGTTTACCTCCAGAGAAAGCGAATCAGTTAATGTCAAAGAGGAGCCGTCCAGTCCTGAGGTGGAGGTGTGTCCTGTTCTGGAGGGTGGGACTACACCTGTAGACACGCCCCTCTCCCCCACTACTTTCATCAATTCCATCCTACAGGACAACGAGACGCAGCCAACTCCCAACACCTCCACCGCAAACCCTACACCAGGTAACAGCTGACAGACAGCCGGCCTGTCAAAGGTTCAGCTTCTGCTGAATCTGTATTTGTAGTGTTACATGTGGAGGCTGGTAGTTTGATTCCCGGTCTGATAACAGTTTGAGCTGTCTGTCTCTCTGTCTCTACTATAGCCATTGTTGTGATGAGCCCTGCCTCCACTGGGCCCCTCCCACCTGCCCCAACCAGCCAGTCACCTGCCTCCAATCCCACCCCAAATTCCACCCCCAGCATATCTCAGCAGAAATGTCAGACCATCGCCTGTATCGACAGGTAAGTCTGTTACACCTCACATCAGTCGGGGTGGCTGCAGGTGCTGGTGCTACCTGATGTTTACTGCGACAGCTAATAACTGCCCCAACACCTGTCCCAAAAGCTTCCCCCACACCTCCAACAGCTGTCTCCACAACTGCCCCAACATCTATCCTAACACGTGTCCCAACACCTGCCCCAACAACTGCCCAACCACATGTCCAAACAACTGCCCTGTAACTGAGGATGCTATAATGCTATGTTGGCTAAGTACCCCAGAGTTATGGTGTTTATCTTGGGGTATTATAACAGCTGCAAACTGGACAGTGTTCGGCTATCATTTCAACAGTATGTGGACATACTTCTCAGCAGAAGGGAAAGTATCTATGGTAGCATTGTCGACGGATTTCATGCCTGTTTATACCCACTGCAGACTCAGACTTGACTATAGCATTATCTGTTTACTCCCTCTGTGCAAACAGGAATGTCACAAACCACAATCCTACAGCGCCCCACACTGGTTCGAGAATGCCACCACACTATTCAAAACAAAGGAATTAGTAATAAGCTGTAATAAGTGTCACCCCCAGCCTCATCAAAAACAGAACAGCTTCAAATAATGCAGACTCAGACCAGACAGTAAACTCAGCTTCAACCAGCACACAAAGGATATTCAAAAAAGGTGTCATCAAAGACTATCAGTAATCAGGAAACTGAAAGGACTTTATGTCACCCCCACCTCCTCCTATGGCTCTACCAATTCTGCTCTACTGCTCCACCTGTTTCTTTAACGTGCTGTCTGTCTCTAACCGACCCAAACTCACACACATCACCCACACTGCTGCAAAGACTGACTGACTGACTAAACTTATTAACTAAGTGACCGACTGACTGACCCCCACCCCCCTTCTCTGACCTGTTCTCTCCCCTTTGTTATCGTATTTGCTATAGTGTATTAGTGTCATTGAATTTGTACCTTTATTGTAGGCTTTCAGTCCTTTTGAAGGTCAGATGTGTCATTAAAACCCCTGTGCTTCTCTCAGACCCCGCCCCCCTCCCTCTGCAGGTGAACCTTCACCTGATGTTTGGCGCTTCGTATCAACACAAGCTGACAAGTGAATGATTAAATCTATAAATGATTAACATTTTAAATATTAGTCTGTTTTGATGTGTAATCTTGGTGATATTCTGTATTTTCCTTCTTGTCATCATGTGCAGACTCAAATTAACACTGAATGAATCCCACTAAAAAGTTTGGTGTGCGTATCCAGAGCCTGATCAAAATGTGGATTCATTCACCGCTGAAAACAGTCCCCATTAAATCAATAGCGTTATATAAGAATTACAATGTGAAGCCCTTTTAGTAAATTTTTTCTATAACTTTTTAACTATATATACTATACTACATATAACTATGGCCGAACTCTCAGCTTCTTGATCTGCTCGGACTGGGGTGCCTTCAGCTCAGAGATGTGTCGTGTTCGTACCCCAGTATACCTGCGTACAAGTCTAGGTTAAAAATTAAATGATTTACATGTCAGGTGCCAATGTGTTTGGAGCTGAGAGCCATAGACAGGAAGTCAGAAAGTGTTCAAAAACTAAAGGCAGGTATACCTTGTGTGATATTGGGATGTTCCAGATGAAAGATGACATTGGTGATATCTTTGGTCATAGCTATAAAACCTGGTCCTACATCACGCTGTTGTCCCAGTCTTGACCAAAGATTGCCTGGAACAAATTTCTGACAGTGTCAGAAATGTAGGAGAATGCTGATGACATTAATTTTTTATTATTAGCTTTTAGTAACCTACAATTCAGGTTTTAATCATCGTACAGTCTGCATACATCAACCTCCATGTTGTACCCAAGTGTGTTAGATCCATGTCGCACAGTGTCACCTACAATAAACTTATAAGCTTATCTCTCTGTCTGTAGGAGCCTTAACACTTTGGGGTTGTTGACAAGAAGAAAATATAGAAAAACTACAGAGGAATGAAGCAACTTCACATCATGTGTCTCCCCTGTTTGTCTCTCTTTCCTGACTGTCTCTCTCTCATCTCTCTCTCTCCTGACTCTATCCTGCTCGTCTCCTGTCTCTCTCTCCTGTCTGTCTGTCTGTCTCTCTGTCCTGTTTGTCTCTGCTGTCTGTCTGTCTCTCTCATCTATCTCGCCTGTCTGTCTCTCCCGTTTCTCTGTCATGTCTCTCTCTCCTGTCTGTCTGCTTCAGGTCTGAGCTGTCTGACCATGTTGACAGTGTGGACAACAGTCTAGAAAACCTGCAAAACATCCTGAACACACAAACCTTCACCTTCGACACCTCCCCACTCTTCGAGGTCAGTCAGAGAGATGGTCGTTACATGAACGTGTTAACAGCATGTTAACATGTTAACATGTGAATGTGTTAACAGTATGTGAATGTGTTAACTGTATATGAACAAAACAATATATGATTGTGTTAACTATACATGTGTGTGTTCATGTTTAGTATTTCAGTTCGCCCTGTTCTTCTGGAGACTTTGACCTCGACAGTTTGGACACTGTGAGTTCAACTATACAGACTCTTATTTTGTTTTTAATCTGTTTCCGCACTTCCTGTCTCAGCCATTCTCAAAATATATACAGTTGTTCAGTCAGTCATTTGTTAACCCAATAAACATGTACAGGTGCATATACATGTACATACAGATGTGTACAGGTGCACACAGGTTTCTGTTTTTGACAAAAACCTGTTTGTTTGTCGTTGATGATGTTACAGCTGTCTGACTGCAATGTCACTGTTTCCTCTTAGCTGCTGTCTGAAGGAGCTCTTAAAGGAAGTGATGAAAGCAGCAACACCAGGAACACAGGTAACACACACACACACACACACACACACACACACACACACACACACCTGTGTTTCTGTGTTACCCTCTGTCATGGTGCTACTCTCTGATTGGTCCAGGGAAGCAGCTGGTGCAGTACACCACCACACCTGTCTTGATGTCTGAACCACTCAGTTTGGGAGAGGGTGGGACTGACCTGCCGTCCCTGCTGGAGCTGGAGGCGGAGCCTTACTTCACACCGGACCCGCCCACTGATGACCCGGCCGCTGCCCTGCTGAGCCACGCCCAACTGGACTCTGACCTCTGACATCATCAGGGATGTGATGACTCATCAATAACCATAGCAACAGGACAGTCTGAGCACTGACTCAGCATCAGCAATAGACAATGATGAAATCAATCGATCAGCTGTAGATCAATCAGTAGGTCAAAGGTCATGTTTTTAGTATGCAGATGTTATTGATCGATATTAACCCCTTTATATATCTGTGTCCTTTTCTTCTTCTACTCTTTTATTTTAGCTTTTGGTTCTTTGCTGCTTTAATTAAATCATTTGTTTGACGATCGCTGTAAAAAAAACAAAAAACAAACAAAAAAAAAAAACTTACAGAGCAAGGGTCGCATCTGTACCTGCCGGTCCAATCAGACAAAGCTCTGAAGTCAATGTAGATGATGTCACAGTACAGATGGGATGACACACATGGACAGGTAAGGCAGGATAATGTGACCCAAGTGTTCTCCTGTTCTGCATGTTGAAGTCAGATTTCATGGTTGTCTTTGTTTTCATGTGTAAAATATAGATATAATGAAGAGACATATTTTTGGAAAAGTTTATTATGAATGAGAAGTGCCCCCACATCACCTCCGTTACCATGGAGACAACATGGAACCAGATAGAGATGCATTGATCTGATCTGTCGGATCAGTCTGAGCTCTGCTTAATCAGATCAGGTATCAGCCATGATATGTTATTGATCCACATTAAATACAGTTTGTTTATCAGTGTGTCATTATAACACTCAGTGTTTTTTGTTACACGAACATTCATCTCAGAGATGGCTTCAGTAACGTTTTATCAAATCTGAACCCTTTAGAAACAGTGGTTCTACTTCATTATTCAGCAAATATCAACTCAGTAAACTGAAGATTACCTGAAGATGAACTGTTGTTGCTACACTGTAACACACAGAGATTACAGTGTAACACACACAGATACAGTGTAACACATAATACAGTGTAACAATACAGTGTAATATTGATACAGTGTAACAATACAGTGTTAACAGGAACTGTAACCCACATACAGTGTAACACAATACAGTATAACACAGAATACAATGTAACAAACACATACAGTGTAACAGATACTGCATAACAGAATACAGCGTAACACACAGATACAGTGTAACAGAAAACAATGTAGCACAGAATATAGTTAATACACACAGAGTGTAACACAGAATACAGTGCACAGATCTACTGGGTCAAAGTATCGGCTGATATTGGCTTATCGAATATGAATCGGTATCAGTAACATTTCGGCTGATGAATGACAAGAAGCTGAAAAACAAAACAAATGCTTTGGATCAGTGCCTGCGTACTACAAGTTTATTTTTACAGTGTAAAATGTCCTGCCCAGTACATGTCTTGGTCATCATTGTTAAAAAATTAATTGAAGAGAAAGATGTTTGTTTATGTTATCAGTTGTCTAAAGTCAATTAATCAGCTGATATATCATTATCAGATTTTTTAATATCTAAAACATTAACATCAACCTCAGAAATCTTGCACCAGCCACGTTCTTTAAAAACACCACACTGATGGAGGATTGGTTCCACTGACCTACAAACTGAATTCATCTGAAAGCTGTCGAGTACTTTAACATAATGTGTCATTAAGTCAGTTTCATGTGTACAATACTTCATCTCTTAAAACTAGTTTTAACAAAGCACAAACTAGTTTTATTTTCTTTCTTTAATGATATAAAAGTGAGTCCTTAGGTCCTACTGAACGTTTTATCAGCTGCTGTATAATCAGGGCGCTGCCCTTCAGTATAAAATCCTCTGTCATTAATGTGTTTGCATTTGTTTTTTTTATCAACCAACTTAAATAGGTTAAAGCCATATGTTTGGTCTGTCTGAGTTCCCCCTCATCTGCTCATAGCAGAGGATTGTGTGAAATAAAGACAGGGTCAAAGGCCAGATAGTATGAAGTATGAAAGACTTCAGTTCAACATCATACACCTGATGTCAGTGATGATGATGCCATAATATTAATATTATTGACAAAGAACTGATCAGTGACATCTTGATGACGATCAGTTTGGAATGAAGACAAATTCTCAATTGGATGTTCAAAATAGACAAAAACATTTATTGTATAAGTTTAAAACCACATTTTACAATCAAGACAGTGAAAATGATGTCACATCCTGCATGATGCCCTCAGGTCAAAACAGAATCATCCACCAGTCGAGATTTGGCTGAAACTTTATTTTTATTCCATTCTAAAACAAAATAAATGTCTATAAACAAACTCCACATTTTAAATATTTAAAAAACACCAATGAGCCACTGCTGCTCAGTGGGCGGAGACTACAGCTAGCGGGATGGGTCATATTTCCTGGGCCACGCTGTTTGGTCAGTACACTGGAATCTGTAGCGCAGGAATCGAACTCGTGGTTTGATGTGGAAGTCAGCAGGTATCCTCCAGTTCCACATTTTCTGCACCTGAGACAGAAAACAGAGCGAATTGTTTGAAAGAGATGAATCACTTTGTTGTTATTGATACTCAAATAACACTTCATAATAGACCTTAAGTATCAGTAGTGTTGATACTTTGGGTATTGATCTGTCTATTAATCTAGGTTGACCTATCCATCTAGTCTCTGTTGTTTTAATCCACAGCAGAGGGCACTGCTGCTGTTTTCAATAAATAATAATCAATTAGATTTCCAGTGGTTACACGATGTGACTGGAGTTTTCACATTACAGGGTGCAGGTCTGGAAGGAGCCCAGACCTTTATGATCTGCACGTTTTACTGTGGTTCATGCAACAAGTGAAAAAAAGTCATAAATAAACACTTGAGCAGCCTTCAGACAGGTTCTCCAGAGAACAGTCAGTCATCACAGTCTGCATGAAGCAGGTGCTAGCCTGGTGCCAGCAGGGACTGAGTGAAAGGGGATCAGGTTTAGAGATTCAGAGTTCATACAGAGGGTCAGAGATCAGTGCGTATTGTTACGAACCTTCAGGACCCTGACCAGATGGGTTGTACTGTTCAGTGACTGAACCTGCAGAGAACAAGCAGAGCCAAGAAAAGAGAAAGAACAAGCCTTCAGCACCTGGTCTCAGGTAAGATATGAACAATCATAAACAGGACTAGTTCATCCTAACCCTTAATCAGAGCAGTTAACTCCAACCAGAACCAAGAACACAAGAACAACACACACTGGATTCAAACTGAAACCTATTACAGAGACCTTTAAAATGGTTTGACCTGAAACTGGAAATTGGTTCAGTTCTTGCCCGATTTTCTGGTTAGTAGACTGGTTTCAGACTGGCTTGTGGAGTGTTTTCAGACTTGTTTGTTGACTGGTTTCACATAGGTTTGTAGACTGGTTTCAGACTGGGTTGTTAACTGGTTTCAGACTGGTTTGTGGAGTATTTTCAGACTGGGTTGTGGGGGGTTGTTAGACTGGTGTCAGAATGGGTTGTCGACTGGTTTCAGAATGGGTTGTGGAGAGTTTTCAGACTGGTTTGTGGAGTATTTTCAGACTGGGTTGTGGGGGGTTGTTAGACTGGTGTCAGAATGGTTTGTAGACTGGTTTCAGAATGGGTTGTGGAGTGTTTTCAGACTGGTTTGTGAAGTGTTTTTAGACTGGTTTCAGAATGATTTGTGGAGTGTTTTTAGACTGGTTTCAAAATGGTTTGTAGACTGGTTTCAGACTGGTTTCTCATGTTAAACATTGAACATCTGTAAAACTTACCAGCTGCCTGTGTGTGATCTGTCACAGCTGGACGACCTGAAACAAACACACACATAGAGTATATTCACACACACACAAATTCACACAACCACACAATTCTACAGTAGACGAAGACATGATACACTTGACCTGAACTTCTTCTACTGTTTAAATAAAAGTAACTTACTGGAGTCGGTTGAACTTCTTGTTGGATCGGCTGTCACTACAAACACACAACAACATGTTGAACATGTCTGACCTTTAACCTTTCTGCAGCATCACTCACTCTTGGCCATGTCAGAGGTGGAGCTCACCTGTGTTTGTCCCTGTGGAGTCGGTTGCCATGGTCACCAGGTCTGTGTGGGAGTACACATCTGAAACTTAAAAAACCCACCCCAAAAACAACAGGATGATTGACAGACGGGAGGTTTGTCCCCACAGATAAAAGGTGTGTGTCAAACAGATAAAAAGGCAGGTGTGTGTCAGGCAGATAAACAGACAGACAGATGTGTGTCACACAGGTAAACAGACAAGTATACCTGAGTTCAGTGTGTGCGTGAAACCATTTACAGTCTCTGTGTGGAGGACGAGAGGGGACGATTCTGCAACACATGACAGGAAGTGAGTCCCCAAAGGTGAATTAACAATTTGCAGGCAAAACAAACTCTTACTGTTGGTTGTCATAGTAACTCTTACCTGTGACATCATGTCCCAGTCCAAGACCTGAAGCTGGAACCAATTGGAACACAGAGTCAGGTTTCTGTCAGTGATCAAAACTATTAATTGGTGTATTGATTTATTGACTTAATCAGTTCCTCTCACCTGTGAGGTCAATGTGACTGGTCACTGACTGTGCTCCACCTGCTGACATCATCATTAGGCATTAACACTAATTAGGTCACTAATTGTTGAATAAGTTAATCAGACCAGTTTGTCCCTGACAAAAATCTAATCAATCAACAGTTTATCAATAATGATCCAGTAGATCAATTATCAGACTGTACCAGTGAGATCAGTCTGGAGGTCATTGAAGGGAACTGGTCGGTCGGTCACTGCAGAGACAAGAGACTGAGCTACATATCTGACCTGAGATCAGCTGGTTCAGACCGATGGAGGTGAATATAGCGTCAGAGAAGAACTAGAATTTACCTGCGTTTGTGTCTGTCAGCTGAGTCTGTCGACCATTTCCTGAAAAACACAAGTTGTCAGTGACTCACAGCTGAAATGCCACACAACTGTCCAGCGTGGTTCAAACATCACAACAACAAATTATTAAAGTCCCACATGAATCATTAAACATCATTAAGTATCTATAATTCTCAGAGGTCAAACAGACTCCTACCATTAGTATCAGGTGAGTCACCTCCATCTGTGAGGAAAAATATAAAATAAAGATAAACATTAACTGAAGCTCCTCGTGTGTGTGTGTGTGTGTGCGTGTGCGTGCGCGCGCGCGTGCGTGCGCGCGGGCGTGTGTGCGCGCGTGTGTGTGTGTGTGTGTGGTATAAACATTTCTACCTCTTGTTTTCAACTCTGACTCTCAGAGCAGGTGTCTGACATATGAACCATCAACACATGAATCATGTGTATCTGTGCAGGTGAGTTTACCTGTTTGTCCTCTGTGAGCTTCACTGTGTGATGAAGATGAAGCTGCTGCAGCTGACAAAGAAAAACAGGGAAAGCAACAAACACCAGGTATCAGAATAAAAGTCTTTCTGGTTTTTCAGAGAAAAAGTCTTTTGTGCACCAACCTTCCTGGACTGCAGAGTGGGAGGAGCCTGAGACAGAGCTGGACAGTGATTGATCAGGTCCTGAGCTCATAGCGGTGTGGTCTAGTCCTGATTGGTCGATGCTGATGTCAGCTTGATGAACACGATCTTCAACAGGATGACACCAGAACAGGTGAGTTGTACAGAGTCTTACAGTAACAAACCTGATCCCTGATCAGCTGACACCTGTGGGGGCAAGGTCAATACCTGCAGGTGAGTCAAGGCTGGAGCCGCTGTTCTGCTCTGCAGATGGGGCTGCTGTCACATCTGA